TATGGAAGTTCAGCCAACCTTTCTGTGAAAAATTTTAAGGTATGTATATGTTAGAAGATATGCTTATACAGAAGCAGTTTTACTTATTATGGGTTTTATATTTAGAAAAATGAGATGATTGATACCACTTGAGCAAACAATCACAATCTTCATCAGTTGAAAACCTTTCACTTAGAATCAACAACAGTTACCACACCATTCAAGCATTTAAAAATATTTCATTTTATCTTCGCATATTTTATTCTTAGCCTGTAAGATATATTATTATGTAACAAAGAGCCTCAATTTCTAAATATTTCAGTGAGGATCTCACTATGAATATTCACCATATTCTTATAGAGAAGAATATATACAACTATGTAATACAGTATATTCACAAAAACATATTATCAGTCATCAGACATGTCAGAACCAAATGAAATTTCATATTAAAGAATTTTATGTAATCATAATTAAGTTAATTCATTGTATAGTTATTTATCAATTCTATTATACAATATGAAACTAATTGGGTAAATTTGATAGATCATCATGTGATCTATTAGTTCCTTAAAATGATTTTTCTTTTTTGCAATTATTTGGTTCTTTTACATTCTCAAGAAATTCATTACGAAAAATGAGTTTTTTTTAAGATTTTTTAAACTTAGGGAGAAATATACAATATTAACTATATAAATATATGTAATTTTACAAAAGAAAATAGATTTTATTAGTTTATAAAGTTAGTTATTCAGATGGATTTTTAATAAATTATGAAAAACTGAATTTAATAAGAAAAAGAGAAGTTAATTCATTTTTTTGAATACAGTTCAGCTTTATTAAGGTAAATAGTTATTTAATCAGACTTGTATAATATTCTAACCTACAACACTTCTAATTTATTTTTGTTCACTAGGTTCATTAAGTTTTTGTTTGTGATGACTCACACTTTCTTCTTTGTCCAACTATTTCAAACCTGTAGTAATTCTGTTAAAACTTCTTTAACTTCCTCTTTTGTTGGTGAAATGGGTATTAACAATAGTTCTAGCAAATCCTTTTCTTATTGAGTAGTTAAATGACGTATTTTTTGTTTTTTTGATGATGATTCAGAAATATATTCAATATTGATATCTACAAAATCTTTATGAATTAAATCTGAAATGGTTTGAGTTTCTTTCAGAGTTGAGAATGATTGCTCAGATAATTCAGCAGGTTTTAGCGATCTTTTTCCTGATAATTTGACAGCTTTTTCTATTTCTTTTTTGATTTTTTTTATATTCTTAACTTTGCTAACTACTACCTCTTTGGCTTTTCTTCCCTTATAATTAACAGCTTCTGTTTTTAATATTTCTTGTCTGTATATTACTTTTAATCTTTCTAATCCAGCATTATAACATTTAAATAGCTTTCAACATTTTTCTTAATTCAATTGGCTATTATTTTTAAAGAGCGAATGCTCTAATGGAATAACTGAACCAAAAGCTTTTACTAAAGATTTTGTTAAATTCTAAAGGGCTGTATATCAATTATCAACTAAATGCTTACCATATGACATCATATTATTATTAATAAATTTACCAAAAAGTAAGTTTATTCTCTCTCTTTCTTCTTGTGCAGCTTTTATTTGGTGTTTTAAATTCTCTTTATTAATAACATTACTATAATGTTTTATTAATGAATTTCACACCAAAAGTTTTAAGAGCCTTATCAAAAGTATAATAATGGCCTTTCTTTTTTCTTGTATAGCTTTTATTTGGCGTTTTAAATTCTCTTCATTAATAACATTACCTGTAATGTTTTGTTTAATGAATTTCACACCAAAAGTTTTAAGAGCCTTATCAAAAGTATAATAATGGCCTTTCTTTCTTCTTGTATAGCTTTTATTTGGCATTTTAAATTCTCTTCATTAATAACATTACCTGTAATGTTTTGTTTAATGAATTTCACACCAAAAGTTTCAAGAGCCTTATTAAAAGTATAATAATAGCCTTCTCTTGTTAAATTAATTGATCCTGCATAATATAGTAATTCTTTAAGTCTTGGATATTTTGCAAGTAAAGAGAGAAAACAATCTGTTGATTTGGTATAATTTAATTTACCTTCAGCGTAAAATAGTAGAAAAAATGCCACAAGATATTTAAGCTGCATATTTGTATTTTCAGTTCTAATACCTTCTTGATGAGTTTTTCATTAGCCATACTATTTGTAAAAATAATGTCATACTTTGAGTAAGTCATTATTTTCTTCTTCTATCTATAAAATATCCATTTGTTTTTCAGTAATATTAATATGAATTGCACAAGCAACTGCTAATCATATTAAATCTAATATTCTACAAGTAGAATAGTAATTTACTACAGATTCTAATTTATTCAAAAACTTTACACCTAACATAATAGTAAGATTATAAATTTCATAACTTGAAAAAATTGTTAAAAGTATACTATATATGTCTTTAAACATGTGTTACTATCCTAAAAGAGGTCTGATTCTTAAATTTTTTTGGTGAAGCTTGAAAACTCTATGAAAGATTGCTTCATTACAACAGATTTCTACAGGTTATTCTTCAACTAATTTTAAATCTTCTATATATTTTTCATATGCAGCAAATATATCTTTATCATTGTTAGGATTTTCTCCAACTTTAAGAATAACAATATGTGGTGGTAAGCATTGCATACCAATATTTATTTGTTTAATTATTTATGTTTTTACAATATCACAATCAAATTTATATGAATATTCTATTGAATTATCTTCCTTTTGTTTATAGTTAAGAAGTTGATTAATTAAAAGCTGAAATCCAATTAAAATTTTATTAGCAAATTGATTTAGACTAAATAAGTAAGTTTGTTTTTCAAGTTGTATTATATTATCTTCAATTGATTCAAGGGAAATTGGTAATTCAAATTGAAATACAATTCTTAATGTTGCATGGGTGGTTTCTCGTGTTATGTTATATATATTATCAAAAGTGAATATTTTTTCTTTGAAATCGATGTTATCAATAACACATATATTCCATATCTTATTATTTTTTTAGGCGTAAAGTTAGATCAGCAGCTGACATTCTTTTATTTTCTAGACGTTATTCATAGTGATCTATATGTGTAATTACATTTACAGATTGAAGAACTTGATGTAATGAAGATAATAAATGAGATTTACAACAAAGACTTGAAAGTATTGTTAGTAGCCAAATTTTTACTTTTTTTGGATAAGAAAAGGATTACAGAAGTTAAAAATATGCTAACTTTTGTTATCTTAATTTGATTAATAGGCTTTATTAGTTTTTTTCATGATATTTGTTTTTCATTTACTCTTTTTCTATTACATTCTAATAAATTACCTATCATTCCTTCAAATAAAGAATATAGAGGTTTAGGAAGTACTGATTGATGTTTAATTAAAGAACTAGGTGATTCTAATATCTAAAAATTTTGAAATTCTTTAAAAGATTTTTTAAGATTTTTAGCTAAATTAATACCTATTTATGAGTAATCTTTAGACGTTAAAATTGAATTATCTTATTTAATTTTATATAATTTAAATATTGTTTTTATGGAAAATAAACTTAGTGATATTTTAATAAAATTATCATCATACGTTATGTTAATTTGTTCATTATTTTTAACATCAAGAATTTGCAAAGCTGATATAATAAGATTTAACATTTTTGTTTGTAATTATATATTATTACTTGAAATAATCCATTTATTTATAAGTTTTAATGAATTGACAAGATCCCACTTATGTTTTTCTTCAAAATGACAACTACCTTCTTTTTTACCTTGTCCAGATTTTACATGTAAATGTCCTCCTTCTTTTTCGTAACAATCACAACAAATGTATCTAACTTTGTGATTTGATTATGCTTTTATTATAACAGAACCAAATTCTTTTAATGCCTTACAATTTTTTTAACCTATGCATGGAACTTGAATATACTTTCCTAATAATTTCCAAGAATATTCTACACAAAATTTTTCATGACTAAAAAAATAATAATTAATTTCACAGAATCGATAATGCCTAAAATGAATTAAACTTTCTAAAGCACCTTTTAATTTTTTAGTACCTTTTGAATGTAATTTATTTTGATCAAACATAAAATGGTTATAACAAACTCCTAATTTATCTAGGTTTCTGCCTACACCTTCTACCATTGATTTATCTAATTGTCACATCCTAACCAATTGCCATAATCCACGTAATTTTTCTGTTCCTCTACAACATTTTATTTTTCTATCGATAATATCTACTACTGCATAAGCTGACAAAGCTTTTTCTGCTGTTTGTGGTATATTCATATCATTTTCTGCTTCTGTACTTTCTGTAACAATAGATGGAACAGCTGAGTTATTTTCCCACTTTTCACTACTACTGCTTGTTGATTCTTGAAATAATAAACAAGCAGTTTCAAAGGAATTTTGATCTTGTAAAAAGGTAAAATCCTCTTTACAATCAGGTACATTGTCAAAAAAACTATTGATATCTTGAATGTTTTCGTAAGTGGACTGAGTATTAGCAAAGTTTTCTGTTATAATTTCAAAAAAGTTAGAAAAATAAATTTTGTACTATTAATAGAATATGACACAATAGTCGACCTTCATAACAAGATCCTTTTAAATTGACCAAAGCGTTTAACGTTTAATGTTTATTAAAATGATTTTAAGAACCTAACGAACATTTTGGGTGATACAAAATTTAAAGTTATTTAACAATGTCACACAGTTTGCCTATAGGTGAAGTAAAAAAATGGCGAAAAAATCATAGTAAAAATTTACTGATCAGATGATCGACATATATGGAATGTCATTTGTACCCGACATGTCCGGTGACTGTTATTGTATTAGTTGCATCGGCAACGCTTTATCTCGTAAATAATAAAGTATGGGTGTATATCAAAATGGCATAAAATATTATGCATCATGAATAACTAGTACTAACACAATTTAAAAATTCAAAGCAAAATTTATTGTATATGTATAAATAATATCGAGAAAAGGAGAGAAGGAGAGCTAAGCTAATACAACAAAAGCTATATTAAATGATATTAAAATCCTTGTCGAAACTTAGTACGGACCGGAACAGCCAGAACAATCACATTTTTCATAAAAGAACCATTTACCAACATCAGTGACTTCATCTGCACATTCACCGCATTTACCATTTTGGCCACCAGGACCACATTTACAATTTTTAGGTTTGCAACGGTATTCTCCTTGAGGGGATGCACCTAATATTATTATTTAAAATCAATGTATAATCAATAAATATAAAAATTTACTTCTTCCAATACAGTATTATGACAATAATTGAAATACTTACAAGACCACCATCCTCTTTTTTTGAGTTTGAGACATAAATCACAACCTGAGAGAGGACCACAGATAATTCCGTAAGTTGAAGTGATGAAACTAGCGATGATAAATATCATCATAAAATGTACATTGAGTACTCTGATGAATTTCATTTTGATTACAGGTGATTAACAATTTAATGAATAAGATTTCGTAATAACAAAAAATTTTTTGTCGTCTTCCGAAAGTTAAAAGCATTTATAACCATTTTATTTCGTAATATAACTTACAATACATTTACGTCTCCAAAAGCATTATTTGGTGCCAACAATCATATCTTGTGGCGTACGTTTTGTGTTATATTTACTTGAAAGTTGTCGAAATATTTTATCTTTATCTTTTACCTTTTTTATAGCACATAAGTCCCATTTTGACCTCCCACATTACAATATCATGCCAAAAAGTTAAAATTTGCATCGCGTGATTTAGATTATCTGAATCGTATTTTTCAATCAATAGGATTTTCTTCATAATTAAAAATTCATTTCCGGTTTCCGGTTCATTGAGTTAGGTGCTTGAGAACGCCCTTAAAATAATATATTTATTTTAGTCCAGATAATGTGGGCTTGTGCAACGGATGAATTTCTCACATATCGGTATTTTCCCAAGCACGCTAGTTTGCACCAATAGCTTTTCACAAAAAATAATATATAACCCGCTATGTCTATCACTTTATTCTGGCCGTTCTCACGCACTTCCCTCAATGTGATTGGATAGTACGATCAGTTGAAATAAAGATGTCGATCAGTGTTTGAGCAATCTCTGTCTTTTTAACGGTTTTATTTATCATGACTAAAAAAAAGGACTTTGGCTACACCTTTAACAAGAATAAAAGTACATTTTTGTAAATTTTTTTGTTTTTAGAATAAATTTAATATCTAATAAATTATACGTTCAAAGTATTTACCAAATGTTTTATTTGTTTATTATATTTCAAAATTTATTTAATAATTGATTCGTCAAACGATTGTATAATTAAAGAATTTACGTAAAAATAAAATTAAAAAATAAAACTAATAAAAAATAATTAAATTTTCAATTTTAGTTCAGGATTTCCTTTTACAGTTGATAAATTTATTATAAAACCACTATAAAAAATTACATGAATATCCCGATTATCATTAAAATTAAATTATATAAATTTATTATTTCCCTCCTATAAATGTCCATATCCCATCCATCCTTAATTAAAAAATTAAAAAATAAAAATAAATTAGAAATTATTCAAAAAATCAAAAACCAAAAATTAAATTAAATTCAAGGAAGAATTTAAATCTATACCATAATATCCTCCTCGCTCCCGA